CTCACCCACCTTTAATCATTGGAAAGCATGAATATTCAACAAAAAGAAGCTGATCCTTCTGAACAGGCAAATCACCTGGGTCAGGCCACAACAATGGGTATCTTTAAAATTTGCTTTATCTAGTTATTATCCCTTTCAGTGCTATTAAATACCAAAACAAAACAAAACAAAAAAAAAAACAAAAAAGAAAAAAAAAGAAATGCAGTGAAAATGAAGCTAGCAAATTCCTCTATTTTATTTAAAACAATGCATACGCCAAAACTGTCTGATGCTACTGTTTGCTGAAAAATATGCCTGACAAATGTGACAGTGTGTACATGCACATTCAATACTCGAAGAGGCAGGCTGGAACTCAGAAGCAATGCCACTGCGGTGGGGAAGAGAACCCCTCCAAAGAAAGGCCTCTCCTCTTCCTCCCTCCTCCCTTCCCCCCACCCCACTACCGGAGAGGCTTGTCTGCTAGAGGGCAGATGCCCACAGCACAGGATCTCAAACTCCATAGGACATCAGAACCCCCTGGAGGGTCCTTAAAATGCAGATCACTGGGCCCCACCGCCAGTTTCTGATTCAGGAGGGCTGAGGTGGAGCCTGAGAATTTGCATTATTAACAGGTTCCCAGATGCTGCTTGGCCTGGAAATACACTTTGAGGACCACTGCTCTAGTTTTCAATCTTGACTGCACATTAGAATTACTTGGGAGATTTTAAAAGGATGAAGACTTGACCTTATTAACCTAATCATAGGAGTAATATTCCAACCTATTCGTTGGTCCCACTTGGATTGGGGTGAGGGTAGATTACATGGGATATGTTCATAAGGGGGCAGGAATCTTGGGAGGCATCTGCCTACCACACCAAGGAACCTAACTCTGACTGCAAGTTCGTTCATGGTGATCTCTGACTTAAAAGGTACCGATACTGTTCAGCTATCATTTTGAACCTGAGATTTGTGCATAATCAGACTACGTCAAGTCAGTTCATAACACTAGGATAGGAAACCAAAGGGGCAGAACTGCCAGAAGACTTCTGAGCACCATCCAAACCATCTGGGTGCATCAGTCCCCTTTTTCAGTAACAAAGACATTCGCGAGCCTCTCCAACCAAAAGACAGGGGAAACTTGATACCCAGAAGAGTAAAAAGAAGCCCATTTGCTCAATGATCTGTTCACCAAATTTGAACTACTTGTTCAATGACCTATTCCCAAATTATACCAACTTTACCCATTTATTAAAATTTATCCTAAAGAATATTCTGCTTAAATATATTCAACAAATTTAATATATTCTGTTCTATAGAGAAATTACTAACATTTCCCCCTTTCTATTAGAAGCAAAGAATACTTGCTAAGTGAGCAAATGGAAGATATTTTCATTATCTATACTTTAGAGCACCTCCTGCCTCAGGAGTCCAATTTAAATTATCCCTTCAGAAGAAAATATCAGAACAGTAGGGACCTGGGATTCACACTCAACTGAAATATTTCTATGAAATACAACAGGTGGATATGCACCCTGAGGAGGTGACTTTACAACCCCAATTATCCTTTAACTTATATGAATCTTCCCATTATTTTTTTTATGTGTTTTTATTGATTTCAGAGAGGAAGGGAGAGGGAGAGAGAGAGAGATTGAAACATTCAATGAGAATCACTGATCGGCTGCCTCCTGCTAGCCCCCTACTGGGGATTGAGCCCACAACCCAGGCATGTGCCCTTGATCATAATCAAACCTGGGGCCCTTAAGTCCACAGCCAACACTCTATCCACTGAGGCAAACCAGCTAGGGTTCTTCCCATTATTTTTTAAAGCTTTTACTCAAATTATCAGGATTATTCAGTCATTCATTTGTTGAATAAACATATTTTGAGAACCAATTACATGCCAGGTGCTCAATATGGAAAGACAACAGTAGACCACAGAAATTTCCTCCTTTGTGGCATTTTCAGTATAGCAGAGACATGGATAGTCAACAAATAACCCCAAATTAATACATACTAGTAATTGTAAATTCTGATGACTAATAGGGAGGGAAAGTATAAGAGAAAAATAAAACCATGTGGTTCTGATAATTAAAGAATGGAAATCATGAGTTCAGACATTTTCTCTTTCCTTCTACCTCTACAAAGGAAATGAAGTCACTGTTTTGAAGACATATCTGTACTCCTATGTTCACTGCAGCATTATTCATCATAGCCAAGACATGGAAACAACCTGAGTGTCCATCAACAGGTGAGTGGATAAAACAAATGTGATACTATTCAGCTATAAAAAATAAAATCCTGACATGCCTGGCGTGCTCAGTGGTTAGAGCGACAGCCTGTGCACCAAAGGGTCGACAGCTCAATTCCCAGTCAAGGTACCTCAGTTGCAGGTTTGATCCACACGTGCAGGAGGCAACCAATCAATGTGTTTCTCTCACATCAATGCTTCTTTCTCTCTACCTCCCTCTCTTTCTACCTTCCACTCTCTAAAAATCAATGGAAAAAATATCCTCCAATGAGGACTAACAAAAAAATAAATAAAAAATAGGTGGGTGAGCCTTTAAAAAAAGAAAAAAAAAATTCTATCATTTGCAAAACATGGATGGACCTTGTACTAAGTGAAATAAGTCAGGCAGAGAAAGACAAATACTGCATGATATACTTATATGTGGAACCAAAAAAAAAAAGCCGTATTTAGAGAATCAGAGAGCAAAGTGATGGTTGCCAAGGGCTGGGGGATGGTTGAAATGGGAAGATGTTGGTCAAAGGGCACAATCTTCTAGTTATAAGACGAGTAAGTTCTGGGGATCTACTGTACAGCAGGGGAATGATAGTTAACAATACTGCATTATATGCTTCAAAATTGCTAAGAGAGATCTTACATGTTCTCACCACTCACACAAAAAATGTAATTATGTGAGTGATGGATATGTTAAGTGACCTTACTGTGGTAATCATTTTGCAATACATATGTGTATCAAATCATCACACTGTATACCTTAAACTTACCCAATGTTATTTGTCAATTAGATCTCAATAAAGTTGGGGGTGGGGGGAGGAAGAAACACCCACCTTCCTGAGATATGCAAAGGACAATTAGGAATGTGGCCACCTATCTGAGGGATAAGGGATCTACTTAATCAAGTTTATTTCGGGGAAAAAAAACCCAGGTCAGCTGCGTGACCATGAGCTTCCACTCACCTCATTTCATCTAGAAAAACTAGAGCCCCGGCAGTGCCCTTGGTGGTCCTGGATCTGTCTCTTGCTTCATCAGTGTTTGGACGGGACAGACCCAGGGACACCCCTTCTTCCAGCCTCTGGCCACTCTCCTGCATCTTATCCAGTCACCACCTCCGAGACCAGCCAACACACAGGGTTTTTTTTTCTACCTTCACTCCTTATTGCCGAACAGCCATGAGCTCCCAAATTCGTCAGAATTATTCCACCGAGATGGAGGCTGCAGTCAACCGCCTGGCCAACCCGCACCTGAGGGCCTCACACACCTACTTCTCTCTGGGCTTCTATTTCAACCATGAGATGCGGCTCTCGAGGGCGTGGGCTGCTACTTCTGCAAGTTGGCGAAGAGGCTGGTGGAGAAGAAGTGCAAGGGCACTAAGCATCTCTTAAAGTTGCAACACAAGAGAGGTGGCTGCATTCTCTTCCACCATGTGCTGAAGTCCCCCCAGATGAGTGGGCAAAACTCAGGATGCCATGGAAGCTGCCCTGGCCTTGGAGAGGAACCTGAATTAGGCTCTTTTGGAGCTGCAGGCCCTGGGTTCTACCCACGCAGACCCTCATCTCTGTGACTTCCTGGAGAACCACTTCCTGGATGAGAAGGTAAAACTCATCAAGGTGGGTGACCACCTGACTAACATCCGTAGGCTGGCCTGCCCCCAGGCTGGGCTAGGCGAGTATCTCTCTCTCTCTATCTTTAAAATATTTTTATTGATTTCAGAGAGGAAGGAGAGAGAGACAGATATAGTAATGATGAGAGAGAATCATTGATCGGCTGCTCCTGCACACCCCACAACCCAGGTATGTACCCTGACCAGGACCTCCTGGTTTGTAGGTCTATGCTTAACCACTGAGCCATGCCGGCCGGGCTGGGTGAGTATCTCTTCGAAAGGCTCACCCTCAAGCATGACTAGGAGCCTTTGGAGCCCAGAGGCCTTTGAAAGGCCCCTCCACATCCCCTGGTGTCTGGCTCTTACCTGAGCCATTTCCCGAAACTACTAGCCATTCTTTAACCACCCTGAAGCCCTCTATCATGCATTGGATCAAATGAAACAATAAAGCTTTTGGCAGGGAAAAAAAGGAAAGAAAAGCTAGAGCCCCACCAACTCAGTCTCTCTCCTGATATTACTTGCCCCATCAATCCCTGTTGTAAAGTCAGCGAAATAAGAAGTGCTAAAATCCTTATAAATAAAAAAGTAGGGAAATCTACTGATTATATTTAATGCCCATTAAAACTATGTATGAAAATTGAGAATTCCTCGTGTTTAAATATTTACCAAACACAGATAAATCCTAGGTCTTAAATAGAACAGTATAATTTAGTTCAATTTCATTCACTCTAAAATAAGGATTCTCCACTGTAATTATCCAGGTAAAGTCAGTTACTCTCTAAAACCTTCCTTGATCCCCCCAGGCACAGTTATTAATAGTTATGTCCTTCCCTGTGCTCCCACAAGACTTCCATTACAGCCCTTTCCAGCATTGTACCATAAATATCCTGAGGTCTTTGAAATTACTTTTCCGGCTCTTACTCAGCTGAGGCCCATGAGGAAAACAGCTTGGTCCTATACATTTGGGTAGCCTTCATACCCAGCAGAGTGCTAAGTTCACAATAGTAAGACTCAACGGAAGTTTGAGTAAATAAATAAGAGGTCTCACATACATCAAATCTTATAACAAATGGAGGAGGGGGGTGGCGAGGAAAGGTAGGGGGGAAGGGACAGTCGGTCGCCAACCGCGTTGGGTTGCCGCCTCCGCTGACACCATCGTGCCAGCCCCTCGGGGTTTCAACGAGGCTGGGGGACGCTCCAGAATGGGAGACAAGCCAATTTGGGAGCAGATTGGATCCCGCTTCATTCAACATTACTACCAGTTATTTGATAATGACAGAACCCAACTAGGCACAATTTACACTGACGCATCATGCCTTACATGGGAAGGACAGCAATTCCAGGGGAAAGCTGCCATTGTGGAGAAGTTGTCTAGCCTTCAGTTCCAGAAAACCCAGCACAGCATCATGGTACAGGACCACCACCCCACGCCCGATAGCTGCATCCTCAGGATGGTTGTGGGCCAGCGTAAGGCCGATGAAGACCCCATTATGGGGTTCCACAAGATGTTCCTATTGAAGAACATCAACAATGCTTGGGTTTGCACCAATGACATGTTCAGGCTTGCCCTGCACAACTTCGGCTGACCTCCTCCCAGCCAGGCACTCATGCTGTTTCCTCCTCCTTCCTCTTCCAGATACTATTCACACTCCTCCAGATGCTCCAAATATCATACACAAATGAGGACCGAGGTGGGGGTGGGCGCAGTGCGCTGCTGCTACCTAGGTATTGTGCGTGATGTTTGGACGCTAGACTAGTTACATCTGACAGGAGGAGTTTGTGTTGTACCAGCGCATGCCTTGGAAAGACTTAAGTAATGCAAAAGGTTGTCTTTTTTTTTTTTTTTTTTTTTTAATCTACTGACAAGTTGCTCTAGTAACCCAAAGAAGTGAAGGAGAAAGCAGCTGCCTCACCGTCCAGATATTGATTTGTTCAGATGTTTCAATGCCTCATGATACAATAAAACCACAAAAATTTTCTTAACAGTTAAAAAAACAAAAACAAATGGAGGAGGGTGACATTTGACCTTGACTTGGGCCCTGAAGGAGGAGTCAGCCATGCAGAGATCTAGCATTCAAGAGAGAACTGAAAGTGCCAAGGTTTTAAGGGGAGGAAAAAAAGATATAGAAAGAAGGCTACTGGGGAGAGTTAAAGAGTGGAGAAAATGAGGAGAGCAGAGCATGCAGAAGGTGAGTGAAGGCACATTCCACGGGAGGAAACAGCGTGCTCTAGAGAAAGGGAGGGAATGTCAGGAAGCGGCTGTTGGTGAAACTGGCTGGAGCAGAAAGAATGCAACAGGAAAGAACAATAGGTGGAGAGCCTTTAGGGCCACCCTCACAGGCTCATACTTGTTCAGTGAGCCCTGGGGGCTTTTGACATGGACGCCAGACCTGAACTTCAGAAAGTGTGTGGTGTGGGGGTTGGATTGAAAAGGATGGAGGGAAGAACCCCAAGTCAAGGGAACCAGGAGGGAGGCTACTGAAATGACCTAATGAGTGGCCACCAGGCTCCTCAGGCAGAGGCTGGGCAGGAAGGAGAAGAGAAGCGCAGACATGGAAGTGTACAACATTTTTCAAAAACAGCATTAAAGGCAGTCAAAACTATGGCTCAAAATAAATGTTCTCTTTTGGAGCAGAGGCAGCAATGGGCCTACGCTGCTTTCATTTAAACCAATACTTGTTAGATGCAAGGACAGTGGCTGGCCAGTAGTAAATTGCCCCTTATCTCTAGATCCAGGCCATTTCATTCCTCTGCCCAGAGTCTGAATAATAAATGTTCTATTCCTCCAAAGAAAATAATGCCATTGAATGAGGTGAAGGTATCAGAAATAGGACGGTTTGATTTTTATGGACAGAGTTTCAGACAATAGATTAGAATTCATCTATTTCTTTCCCAGTTGACCCATCAGCCCAACTACCTGACCTTGAAAAGTCATTTTCTTCCTCTTTTCAGTACAATTTTAAAAATCGAAGTGTTTTTAGAATTGGAAAGAAAAACCTAGGAAGGAGGCTTGTAGCAAAGAAAGGGTAATCGATCTGTTCAAAGAATCAGTGTTCTGATGAGACTGAAGGGGAATAGCTGAAGCCCTCCCCGTTAGGACTACAGATTATGCAGTGATGGGAAGGGAATTAATTTATTGGCACCTGTTACTCTTCAAGTACTGAACTTGGTGTTATGGATTTTAAAATGAACAAGATAAGATCATCCCTGCCTTCAGGGTGCTCACAGACATATAGAAAAAATCCCATACAGCGTGATGGGAGCAACAATATGAATGGTGGAAGTTTGGGGAGCCAGAGAAGGTTCCAAGAGGCTTGAGTAAATAGGCATCATCCAAGGATGAATACATCAGGACTTGGAAATCAGTATCTCTCAAGCTTCCACATCACGCTTCCTGATTTCAAATTATATTACAAAGGTATAGTAACCAAAACAGTATGGTACTGGCATACAAATAGGCACACAGACCAATGAAACAGGTTCAGAACCCAGAAGTAAACCTTCATATATACGATCAACTAATATTTGACAGTGGAGCCAAGAATATTCAATGGGGAAAGGATAGTCTCTTCAATAAATGGTGTTGGGAAAACTAGGTAATCATTTGAAGAAGAATGAAATTGGGACCCACAGCTTCAAGCGTACCAACATCAGAATTATAGGGGTGCCAGAAGATGAGAGAGCAAGATATTGAAAACCTATTTGAAGAAATAATGACAGAAAACTTCCCCCACCTGGTGAAAGAAATGGACTTACAGGTCCAAGAAGCGCGGAGAACCCCAAACAAAAGGAATCCAAAGAGGACCACACCAAGACACATCATAATTAAAATGCCAAGAGCAAAAGACAAAGAGAAAATCTTAAAAGCAGCAAGAGAAAGAAACTCAGTTACCTACAAGGGAATACCCATACGACTGTCAGCTGATTTCTCAACAGAAACTTTGCAGGCCAGAAGGGAGTGGCAAGAAATATTAAAAGTGATGAATACCAAGAACCTACAACCAAGATTACTTTATCCAGCAAAGCTATCATTCAGAATTGAAGGTCAGATAAAGAGCTTCACAGATAAGGAAAAGCTAAAGGAGTTCATCACCACCAAACCAGTATTATATGAAATGCTGAAAGGTATCCTTTAAGAAGAGGAAGAGGAAGAGGAAGAAAAAGGTAAAGATACAAATTATGAACAACAAATATGCATCTATCAACAAGTGAATCTAAGAATCAAGTGAATAAATAATCTGATGAACAGAATGAACTGGTGATTATAATAGAATCAGGGACATAGAAAGGGAATGGACTGACTATTCTTGGGGGGGAAAGGAGTGTGGGAGATGCGGGAAGAGACTGGACAAAAATTGTGCACCTATGGATGAGGACAGTGGGTGGGGAGTGAGGGCGGATGGTGGGGCGGGAACTGGGAGGAGGGGAGTTATGGGGGGGGGAAAAGAGGAACAAATGTAATAATCTGAACAATAAAGATTTAATTAAAAAAAAAAAGAAAAAGAAATTGGGACCCTATTTTACACCACTCACAAAAGTTAACTTGAAGTGGATTAAAGACTTAAACATAAGATCTGATACCATAAAACTCCTCGAAGAAAACACAGGGTAAGAGTTCCATGACACTGGTTTTGGCAATATTTTTTTTAAATCTGATTCCCAGACCAAAGGCAGCAAAAACAAACAAGTGGGACTACATCAAACTGAAAAGGCAACCAAACTCAAAAGGAAAAGTGCTGTTCCAAAATGGGGGAAATTGTCTTGAGAAGATGTGCATCCTCTTATTTATGCAGATGTCCAAACTCAAGTGGGGTGAGCATTGGGCAGGGGTGTGGCAGAGGGGCTCAAAATAGCAGACAGGTGAAATGGATGACTTAAAGCTTCCTGTCAAGCCTGACATTCTGTGACTCTACATTGAAGGTATATGTGAGGTCTGCTCCAATGCTCTCTCTATCCCTATAGAGCTCCCTGCCCAGGGAATACATATTAAGAAATGGCAGGCAGCACCATGAGAAACCAGGACTTGAGGAATGCAATCAGATTGCAATGTTATTTGTGTCTCCCACTTTCCCTTCAAACTGCATTCAGTAAAACTCAGGCAATCTCATGATTTTCTGACCACTCTCTGACCAAAAGTCTGATGGCCATTTTAAGCTGCAAACAGTATCAATCCAGTGATTAAAAAGTCCAGTCTCCTATAATACTAATCAAAGCTGCCAACTCCTTTGAAGACAAGACTTTCCCTTTCTTCCCCAGGAGGGCAGGTGCTGGAGGAAGGGGGAAGGAGTGTGGTAGCTAGTCAAGGTCAGTCTTTGATGCCCTCAGGGCTGGGGAAGGGCAGGATCAGGTGTACATAGTTGATAGGAAAGGTAAAAATAGCAGACACGTTTTATCTGACTATCAGGTTGGGAAGGTGTTTTGTTTTTTTCGGGGGGGAAGGCGTTAATATTGTTTTCTGGGGCAGTTCACAGATAGCTCTCACAGGCCATGACCTTGACCCAGACAAAAGCCTGCTTGGTCTAGTATTACTCACTCTCTCCTCTGCCCTTGGGAATCCAGAAATACAACTTTGGTTTATCTTTTATTGAGGCAACTTCTTCCACCTTAATAATTCTACTGGGAGTGAAGGCCAAGCCCCAAGCAGAAACAATTCTCCTTTGTTTTGCTGCCCCGTCAACTAGACAGCCCAGGTTTCACCCTGATATGCTGGTTGGGGCAGTAGTGTGGTGTCAGACAACAACAGGTCTGTGTGTTCCCCTAAACATTTGACAAGGTGAAGGGGAAGCTCCCCTCAACCTTTCTCCTTAGATAAGGAAGGACTCCCAGCACAGCCACACTCTCTCCAAAGAAATTCTCATAAAGTTTCCCTAACTCTCCATTCTCTCCACCTTATTATATCCTCGATATGGTTTGGGGTCTGGTGAGCTGTGCCTTTCAACTTATCTTCTCTGTAACTTCTGCATATGACCTAGAACAGCGGTTCTCAACCTGTGGGTCACGACCCCTTTGGCGGTCGAATGACCCTTTCACAGGGGTCGCCTAAGACCATCCTGCATATCAGATATTTACATTATGATTCATAACAGTAGCAACATTACAGTTATTAAGTAGCAACGAAAATAAATTTATGGTTGGGTCACAACATGAGGAGCTGTATTTAAAGGGCCAGAAGGTTGAGAACCACTGGCCTAGAATCTCCTTTAGAATGTATGTTACTGCATTACTAGAAACCTCCCATATAACACTGTTTAATTTTCAGTGACCAGGTAGGAAAGAAATGACAGAATTATTAACAGCTATGTAAGTGCTTGATGCTTTCATGCAAAGCCCCTGTAAGAGAATAAAGAATTCAGAGGAGGCCTGAAGCACCTTGCTCCTACTTACTGAATCTCTTCCTCTTCCGCTCCCCAAACACAGGGGTGGATGTTATCATCGCAGTGCAAGAAAGGCCAAGGTGAAGCAGCACCCCAAAATGACCAGAGGAAGTGGAGCAAATCCACCACTAAAAGACCACATTGATCCCAAACCTGGTGCTGAGTACCCCAGGCATCTTCCTGTGGGATGAGGACAGTAGACAAGGTCAGGTTGTCATCTGGGAGAAATGAAAGCTGAATGGAGATGGCCAAGTCACCTCTGATATGGGAGAGAAAGGCCCCAGTCTTTCAACCAATCTTTGGACCAGGAAGTGGAAGAGGAACGGGTAAGAGAACCCACCAGGTATAGATTCAAGAAGTGAAAGAGAAAGAGGATGACTTGGTTCCTGCCACTGAGTAATTCAAAGCTTCACAACTGGCCAAGTTGCATGCCAAGAATGGGCTACAGGTGTGCAACAAGACCTCAAACCCCCAAGCCTTTGGGGCTGCTGGAGATTCCGGACTGGTCACCTCTGGCCATAAGCAGCCTTATTTGGGGCTCTGCAGAGGGTGGCCAAGAAGACCGAGATCTGTCGGGACATCCCACAGTGCCTGCAGGCAGGAGTGTAACAAGCACCACTG